CTGTAAAACCAGGCTCACCTGTAAGTGAAAAGCCTACTACGGAACATCCCAGCTGGACGTTTTTTACGTCTCTGATGACAATGGTCCAATTTCATCTGTGTAACTTCACCCAGCACAAGAGCCTGGTCTGAAGGCTTGAACACTACAGAGTAAATAAAAATGCCAGTTTGATAACTTTTTGAAGCATTAGACATACAAAGTTGACATTAAGCTGCTTTCCTTAGCAAAGGTACTTACGACATTGTATTGGAGACATAATCCTCAAAACCTCTTTTAGAGATATTATTTTTATATACCAGTCTCTTCAGAGTCTTAGAGAACAGGTACCAAAACCTTAATTTCCCTACGATAGCTGGTTACTTTGAAAGCTGCCTTAAGAACTGTGACCAGCCAGAAACACAGCATTACCCTTTCGTTTGATAAACTAAACCCCAAGCTGAAAGAAAGGAAAACTACGTTACCACCCATACAAAAAGAACTGTACACATTGCACGTTTGGAAAACGACAACGAAGTTTTCAACTTCCAAGACTGATCAAATCACAGGAATTGCCGAATTTAAGCCCAACCAGTGTTACCAACTTAACATATTGCAATAACGCATATTACATCAAATTTTACAAGAACACATTTGTTATTTTATTTTTAGTCTGTTTTAAGAAATGAATGTGTAACGCTCTCAAGAATGAAACAGTAGCAGAAATAGCTGTGTGGATGGAAGTTATGCCTATTTAATCATTACGAGTGCCTGTAAGTTTATTCCACGCAGAAGCCTGCATTAATCTGCGCTTTCGGGGCAGCTGAGTCAAGCTGTGCTTCCTTGTCTCTAAACCTGCAATTCCCAGAACCCATTGCAACACACCCTCTTAATGTTAAGTAATCCTCGCCTGCAAAAATTTTTATGAAGACAGATTCTTCAAAAGTTCTTGTCCCTTAACTCGAAACTCCTTCCCCTACCCCTCATCTCACCCCCACAATTCCTATTTTTATGGCATACAGTTGAAACAGCGAACTAGTTTCTGTAATTCTACCAGTGCACCCTTGCAATAAGAACACTGGCAGAGAAAAGAAGTAATAAATCAAAGAGGACAAACAACTTAGAAAAATATTTTTCCATGCTGGAACACATTTTAAGGATGTAGGTGATCCATGCAGCGCATGGGAAGAATAACACAAGCCACGTTTTGATAATTGTGAAAGAAACAAAGGCAGTGATTAGAAATAAATTTAAATTGAAAAATACTCAACCAAAAAGCCCAAATTAAGAACATGCTGAATGCCAGAGAGCACTCAGAGATACACCAACTGTTACTAAGCTTTTTGCGTTAGACAATCAAATGAAGCAATTAGATTTCAGAAACTAGCCAGTTATTTTAGGACTGAAACAAAGGCTGGAGGAAATACAGCTGCCTGTGTCTGGAGAATGGAGAAAAAGGAAAACAAAGCATTGCATTTGAAATATTCATGGCAACCAATTTGTATAGGAGGAATTTTAATTAAAAGTTTAAAAAAATTATTTTAACTCGGTAATGAAAATAATGCAATTTAAAAAAAAGCAAATAGCTTAACACATGATGTATAGTTGATATCTTCAAAAATCATAGGAAATGACAAGCAAGTACTGAACGGGACTGTGAAGCGACATGGAAAAACAATCCTCCAAAATTGAGAATTCTCCTGCGATGACACTTTGGAACCTCAGCATGTTTTGATGTGGTGTTTTCTCAAGGCTGTAGGAAAACATGACTCTCAAGAGACCAAAAGGAAAAGGTTTTAATAATTCCTCACAGGCAGATACTGTTGCAGAGTATCACAGAGAATTTGATAAAATGGGTAATTAAGTTACTTGTCTTGTGCGTTCAAAGCTTTAAGCGCACTAACGCTTCAGTGCTAGTATACGCTTCACAGAACACGGAAGCCTCTATCAATTTAACTTCCGAACACATCCTCTAAAAGCCTGAACAGCTTTAGAATAAGCTATAAGCTGTATTTTTAATTAATTATCAAATAAATACAACATCCTTACCACAGCATGACCAGCAGAGAAAAGTACTGTAAGGCACTTACAGAAGGCCTATCTCATGTGCGCGACTCTATTTTAGACTCCTGAGGGCTGGCAAAGAGGTTTTTTTTTCTCTTACACTTCCCTGAGTGATAGCATTCAAATGCTGTTCCTGCTAGGAAAACGATAACCTTTTTGACACTTTGGAGAAATGCAGCAACAAAGCTTTTTGCCTTTTTTTTTTTTTTAAACATTCCAAGCAGGACATTGGTAACACAACGCCTGTTTAACACCACTCCTTGCTTTGCAAGTGTCCTTAACATTTATCTTCTCCCAATTAGAAATCTCATCACAGACAGCAATCCCGTAAGATAAAAAGACGACAGTTCCATTTCTTTTGGTTTTTAGGGAAGTATTTTTTAATGAAATGTGCACGTAATTATACAATATATAACTTTAATTCAAGTTATAAAAATATGCATATTTGAGTCCAAAATACTTAATTTGAAAATAAAAGACTGCCAACTGGATCACAATACATTTCCTTACAAATTGTACCCTTTTCCCTTACCCCTCCTCCCAATAAAATTTTTTGCTCCCTTTGTTCCATTTGATTTTGTTCTCACATAATCAACTTTTTAATCTCTAATAAAACCAGTTTTTAATTGGCCCTGAGGTACTGCACAGATCAATGCAGTCTAGGTTATTGCTTTCTTATGCAGTAAAACATCCACTATGTACAAATCCTTAAGGAAATGAGAGGGTTTTTTTTAACTTCAGAGGCAGAATATTTCTCGTAGCTGATGAGTGCTTGGCTACAACTAACAACTTATTCCTACTGATTCTTACAATACCCTGGCTACGTGCAGTATACTTCTTTTCATATTCCAGATAAATCTATCTTCTGTGAACCAGAAGACTTAGTACAAGTGGATAAGAAAAACATGTTACTGGACAGACTGAACTTGGAACTGCTGCAGAGCCATTTCACCACAAACATAACTTCTCTCACTAGCTTCATTTCTACTCCACTCTGCTCACAAAGATCACTATGGGGCAGAAAGAAAAAAAAAGTCTGAAGCCATCATTTTCTTTAAATACTGTAGAATGAATACCATATCTAGGAAACAAAAACCTTTTGAGCTAGTAATTTCACTGAAGTGCAGCACTGTATCTCCTACTGGAAGTCTGGAATTGATGATCAATACCGACAAGTACTGGAGCAAGTACTTGGAGAATTGTACCTGCCCAAAAGGCAGACAAGCGGGAACTTCTGTATTACTTATTGCTCCTTTGCTTGTACACAATCACTGATATTTAATATACAATGATCAGAAAAACACAAGTGATCCTCACAAAAGGAAAAACCTTAATGAAAAGGTAAGTTCACATTACAGCAGTTTCCATTAACTACAATCACCGTCTAAATTAGAGGCACCAGCTTCAACAGAAAACTTGCAAAATTATCAATGATAACATTTACAGAGTAGTGGCATATTATATGCTGACACCTGACCTCCGCAGTAATGGCACCATGTAAAAGGAACCTGAAAGGAGCTGAAAGTCCCACAGGAACAGTAGCAAAAAAGAAGCCTCTTCAAGTATCTATTGATGTAGTTAGTAGGATGTTTGCAGTAACAAACAATCCTATGCATTCAAGCAATGATTTCAGAGAATTTCTCCCCTCACCTAGGAGACAGTCCACAGAGACTTCTACCGCCCTGCATGCCTCAAAGCTTCTGCAATTCTTCCAGTCTTAGGTTAGGCATGAAGGCCATTTTTTGAACTCTGTTCCAAATTAAAGCCGAAAAGTGAATCTGGTCTTGTTCATAAATCCTCTTTCCTCTGCGAGTTGCTTACAACCACTTTCAAAAAATGTAAAGGAACAGGAATGAACTAAAGAATTGCAGAGGACCGGAGGGAGCTATTGGATCTGGAGCAATCTTTGAAGAGAACAAACTGTAGCAAAGACAGCTGATCTTCACCGATATCACTAGAGGAAAGTCAGTACTATGTATTCACTCTCAGTAGGCTTTCATACCTCTCCACTAAAGAGAGGTCAGTTTGTTTTCTAGGTTTTCATTACAATACACACTTCTGTTACCAAGAGCACAGATAACTGCAGCTTACTTATGAGGTGAGATGCAATTTCAAGGAGACGTGACCAGACTCTGCGATACAGGTTATTAAAGGATTCCTAGTAAAGAATCTTAAAACATTCACAGCAGTAAAAAGAAGCTGCTGTAAACATCTGTGACACACACACAATTTCTTTGATAATTTCAGGAGAACATTTCCTTCAGGATGATGAAGGCACTTGATAGAGACATGTGATTTCAACTAGTCCATTTTCAACCCGGGCACATTTTCTGCCAAGAAAAAGCCACCACAATAGTTACTAGTCCTCTTGCACCGCAGTCTTGGGGCCTGAGGTTACAGTCATCTTAGTAACCTTTTAGGGAGAGCAAATGTATTTGACAAATTATGGAAGAGATTATCTTATGCTACTCAAAAATCCCAGTACACAGCTAAGAGGCCTACTCCTTCCCCCTTTCACAGTACAGTTACAATAGGTCACAGAGAAAAAAAAAAAACCTCAACCTCCCCTTGAAATTTTAAATGACAGTTGCCTCAGAAGTGTCCCACGCATGTATTTCCAGAGAATATATGTCTGAAAACTACCTACAGTAAAGCGACTCTTGTTTTCAGGTGAGCAGTAGAACAAAAGTGTGAGAATTTCTAAAAAATGGAGTTTAGGTCTACTAGAAGCTAAAATCTCTAAAAGGAAGCATCAAACTGTAAAACATTACCTGAAAGGAATTTTTTTTTTTTTATGCTAATCTTCATCTGACCGCAAATTAACCTATTAAGGCACATAAATTAATGGCAGAATAAGTAACTGAAGCAATGAGATATTGATTTTGGTTCAGAAGAGTAGAAGGCACTTTTACTACTTTTCATCCATATCTGTGTGACGTGGAAGTGTTTTGATATTGATTTCACCTGGTTCCACTGTTCAGCAGCAAGATCTTCTGTTCAACTGTGTCTGCCACCAAATTCATATTACAGTCCCGAAGAGCTTTTATTAAGTCAGTCACCTTTGCATCTTTTCCCTTCCATTTCTGCCACTCTCGAAGTGACTGAAACAACTGTTCGTGCAAATTAAGTGGATTGGCTGCCACTACTCTGTCCATTTTCACTTCAGAAAGGCCAAGTTTTCGTATCAGCCTTTTCCAGTCTCTCCCGACATTTTCACATATGACTTCCATAGCTGCCTTTTGAAGACCTGAAATAGCAGATATATATCAAGTTACTGATGGATTTAATAAGAAACACGAGAAAGTTGTTAAAAGCTAGATAAAAAAATGGAAGCAATTTCCACCCCGGAAAGCTGTTTGCAGCAAATGCTGCCCTCACGGTACGTTTCCAGAGTACAGCACAGTCTGTGCAGCAGTTAGTAACGGAAGCACCTTAGCGGTGAGCTCAGCTGCAGCAGGGAACTGAGGGCAGCCGTGCCCTGGTTGCTCTAAGCACACCCACAGCTAAAGGCTGCGTACAGACTTACTGGGGTTGTTGGGGGCGGCGGGGGGGGGAGAAATATTAAAAAAATAATCCACCTACGTTTTTCATGCACATCTGGTTGATCATCATCAGCGTTAACTTCTCCTTCCTCTACGAACTGCTTTAGCTGTGAGACCAAATCTTCTCTTTTAATGCTCTCAAGCAAGCCTTCAAGAAACGACACCTTGTCTCTTGCAATCAGCTGCTGCTCCAGATGAAGCCCCCCCCGCCACTTTGCACAGACTCAAGCTTCCTTTTCCCAATTTTCCCCCGGCACAGAAACTTCAGGGACGCAAGCTCACTGTCCGTCAAGCTCGAGGAGAAAGAGTGCAGCAGAGCCAAAAACGGATCCATGGTGCCGAGGCCTACACCCCAACCACCACC